GACATGGACTGAGGTCCTGCTGCTGGTCAGTGACACAGGCTGAGCCAGAACCCAGGTCTCCAACCTCCTACCCAGGGGCTGCCAAACTCCCCAGGCCTGGCCCCTCTTGGAAGAGCAGGAAGACTGTTCACAGACACGCCTAGAGGACACCCAGGTCTGATGTTCCCAGGGCTCCTGGGCAGGACTGGCAGGTCTTGGCTCCTGGAATGTGAAATCCTGGAGGACACTGGCATTTCCTGCTGTCAGCAGCTTCCCCACTGCTTGCCCTTTTACTCCAGGAGAAAATAGAAGGAATCTCCCTCCTGGCAATTTGGGGTTGTCTTTCCAACTGCCCTCAGGGAAGCCCTGCTAGGAAACAGGCAGGAATGAGGTGGAATTTTTGTTGTGCAGGTATGTCAGGTACATAGAAAGAAGTCCAGGGTTCCCCAGGCCAGAGACCCCTCCACTGCTGGCTGACAAGGATGAGTCTGTGAATCATTTTGTTCAGACACAGTGTCAGGATTTCAGAAGCTCCCTGCAAAGGGGCTTCTGTTGACCAAAGCCTGATCCCTTCCCTGGCAGAATCCTCCACATGACACAGTCCAGTGAATTTTATCAGAAAACGATGGTGTGGTGGCTCACACCTGTAATTCTAGCACTTGGGGAGGCCAAGGCAGGAGGATCACTTGACACCCTGACTCTTTTTGCACAATTTAAAAAAAATTATCAGAAAATGATAGGATAGCCAATACAAAATTGAAGAAACTAAACAAAGTTATGGACTTACACTAACAGATCAGGAAGTTTTATAAAACTATAATAATTTAGAGTGTGGTTTGCACAAGGTAAACAAATTTATCAATGGATTGAAACAGAATTCAGATACAGATCTACATACAGACAGTCAGTGATTTGTGACAAAGGTACCATTACAACTTACCAGGCAAAGATCAGTCCTTGTAATAGATATCCATATGGGGAGATGTATCTTGACCCATATCTCACACCAAATGTGAAAATTAATTTGAAATGGATCAATTATACGCAAAAGATTTCAAACTATAAAGCAGGACTTGCAGAAGCCAGTGTGAAGAGCATGGGAGCCCTCCTTCCAGCAAAAGAACCATTTAACTGGTCAAATTTTTTTTTTTTTATGAAAACAATTAAGTCTCGGGAAATTGTCCTAAGGGCATACAGCAAATGAAATGTTTATTCAAGAAATTCTACTCAATCTATATAGAGCAGCGAGAGTCTGAGGGCATTTAAGCCACAGATTACTCCTATTCCCCACATCCCCAGCCAACAATGTGTAATTGAAGTTCTATGCTGGGCAATCACAGACAAGAAAATGGGACTCCATTTCTTCCCAGCTCCCAGCCTAGGGCTACAGTTTCAGTCCAGAAAGGGTAGCATCTTTTATGCTGCCATCTTCATGTTGCAGATGTCCTACATTAGTTAGAAATTGTGGCTTACAGGACTGGGGCTCCTTCTCCAATCCAGCCCCTCCTCCTAGCATGAAAGTTCAACGGCAGCTTTAGTAGGTCAGGCACACTGGGCTTCATTGATCCTGCCTGAGTTCACTCATGGCAGAGGTTCCCTGCAAGAAAGGGCAAATGGAGAAGACTAGCAGCTACCACCCCCTCCCAGTGTTCCAGCTGTGGAGCAAAGGCATCGCCACAGGAGAAGCTGACTGCTGTCCCTGACACCAGCTCCAGTCCAGTGGCTCAGCAGTTCTGCCCAGGGAGGAGGGAGGCCATCAGAACAGAGAGCACCACAGGTCTCCCTAAAGCGGGCTTTATTTGAAATGGAGTGTGGAGAAGTTCATACTTAAGAACATGTAAAAAAAAAAAAAAATGGAAATTTTGGTGCTGAAAAGCCGAAAAGAGGGTGGTAATTCCATGACAGTAGCAACAACAAACAAAGACCAGGCAGAAGCTTAACAGAGATAATCAGAAGAAGAGATAACTAAGAAGGGCCCTCCTGGGGTGAGAGACAACCTCAAACCCTAGCAACACTCTCACTTGGCAAAGAGGCTAGACTTTAATCAGCCCACAGAATGATTTATGCATTGTGCTGTAGGCCTATTAAAAAGAATAGAGCAATCAATTAACAATTAGAGGAGTCTAATAGAGGCAAGTCTTATATGTATGTTACATTATTATTGCTTATATGTAATTGTATAATTACTTGTAAAAACAGCATAATTGCTTATTTCTTACCTTTTCTTCCCTTAACTGGTTTTAAAAGTAATGGCATAGAACAATATGTACATAATTGCATTGCTGGAAAAAATAAAGAATCTGATTTTAAAATGGGCAACAGGTTTGAATAGCCATGTATTAAAGGAAGACATACAAATAGTCAACGGATATATGAAAAAATGTTCAAAAACACTTACCATCAGGGAAATGCAAATCTAAGCCACAGTGAGATACCTTACTCCAGTTAACATGGTTTTTATCAAAAAGACAAGGAATAACAGCTGCTGGCAAGGATGCAGAGAAAGGGGAATGCCCATAGACTGGAAATGTCCATCCAGACCCAGATACTAAAATTTACAACACATTTAGAGAAGAATTAATACCAGTCATTCACAAACTTAAAAAAAAATAAAAAGCTTTCCAGTCTACTCTGAGGTCTTATTACCCTAACGCCAAAACCAGACAAAGATATCACAAGGAAAAAAAATACAAACCAACATCTCTTATGAATGTAAATTAAAAAATCCTCAACAAGATATAGCATGCCAAATCCAGCAGGATATATAAAGAATGATACATCAGCCAGGTGCGGTGGCTCACACCTGTAATCCCAGCACTTTGGGAGGCCAAGGCGGGTGGATCATGAGGTCAGGAGATCAAGACCATTCTGGCTAACACAGTGAAACCCTATCTCTACTAAAAATACAAAAAATTAGCCAGGCGTGGTGGCGTGCACCTGTAGTCCCAGCTACTGGAAGGCTAAAGCAGGAGAATCTCTTGAATCTGGGAGACAGAGGTTGTAGTGAGCCAAGATCGTGCCATTGCACTCCAGCCTGGGCAACAGAGTGAGACTCCGTCTCAAGAAAAAAAGAATGATACATCATGACCAAGTGGGATTTATCCCAGGGATGTAAAGTTGGTTCAACATATGAAAATCAATCAATATAATATACCATATTACTAGACTATGGAGGAAAGACACATAATTCTCTCAAATGATACTGAAAGAGCATTTGACAAAATCTACACTCTTTCATGATAAAATACAAAGAACAAACTAGGAATAGAAGAGAGCTTCCTCAACCTGTTAAAGATCATCTACAATAAATTCACAGCTAACAACATACTTAATTGTGAAAGATTGAATGCTCTCCCCCTAACATCAGGAACAGGACAAGTATATCCACTCTTACCACTCTATTCAACCTAGCACTGGTGGTTCAAGCCAGGAGTTAGGCAAGAAGAGAAAATGCATTCAGATTGAGAAAGATTAAGTAAAAGCATTTCTATTTGTAAATCACATGATCTTGTATGTTAACAATCCTAAGGGCCAGGCACAGTGGCTCATGCCTGTAATCCCAGCACTTTGGGAGGCCAAGTGGGGAGAATCACTTGGGACCAGGAGTTTGAAACCAGCCTGGTCAACAAAATGAGACCCCGTCTCTATGAAAATAAAAACAAAAAAATTATAAGTACCTGAGGTGATAGATATAGTAATTAACTTGATTTAATCATTCAACAAATTAAAACTATATTAAATCATCACATTTTACCCAATGTGAATACACAATTAGTTTTTATCAATTTCTTAAAAAGATTCCTAGCAGAAAACATGGAAGTAAATCTTGATGACCTCGAGTTAGGTAATACTTTCTTAGATATTACACCAAAAGCACAAGAGACAAAAGAAAGAATAGACTTCATAAAAAATCATAAACCTGTGCACTGCCAGCAACAGCATCAAGGAAATGAAGACAATCCACATAATGAGAAAAGCATTTGAAATCATATATATAAGGGATGAGTATCTGGAATATCTTTTAAAACTTTTACAACTAAATAATAGTAAAATAACCCAAGCAAAACATGGAAAAAATCTGAATAAACTTTTTTCAGAAAGGAATACAAATGGCCAGTAAGCACATGGAAAAGACAGCATCGTTATTCACTAAAGAAATGCAAATTAAAACTACACAGGATATCATACATATCCTCCCAGATGACTAATAAACAGGAAAATAGAAAATAACAAAGGTTGGAGAATATGCGGAGAAATGTGAGCCTTCACAGATTGCTGGTGGGAATGCAATTGACTCAGCCTCTGTGGAAAATAGTTTGGCAGTTCCTCAAAATGGTAAACAGAATTACCAGGTGGCCTAGCAATTCCACTCCTATGTGTACACCCCAAAATCACTGAAAACAGGTTCTCAAGCAAATACATGTATATGTATGTTTGTAACAGCACTATTCACAATAGCCAAATGGTGGAAACAGCCCAAGTGTCCATCAACAGATGAATGGATAAATGAATGCTGATACGTGCATATAATTTAATATAATTCAGTTATAAAAAGGAATGAAGTACTAATACTACAAATGGGGATATGTCTTGAAAACACTAAGCAAAGCAAAAAACAAAGTGACACAAAAGGTCACATGGTGTGATTCCGTTTATATGAAATGGAAAGCGGACTGGTGGCTGCCAAGGGTGAGGGTAGAGGGGAAGGTGAGGAACAGCTAAGAGGGCATGCAGTCGTCAGAGGCTGTGGAGCCAGATGACTCGGAGGTAAAAAGCAATTCTGGAAGATGACTGTGCTACTCTTCCTTCAACTTGAGAGAGAATGGAAGAGAAGGAAAGAGAGAAAGGAAAAGACAGGGATGGGAAGAGAGGAGAGTGGGGCTGTGACGGGGTGGGGAGAGAGAGAGAGAGAGAGAGAGAAATACTGATGGTTGCCCAAAAAGAAGTTAGTGAACACAGTAGGCATTGCTCACCTTGATGGAACACACATAACAAAACTCCGTCTACTGTCTGGGTTGCGCTTACTTGAGCACACTCCTGGGGTAGTCAGGCCGCATGGCTGGGACCTGGAGCCTCACTACTGCCTGGTGCTGAGAGCCCAGATGCTCTAGGCAGCAGTGCTGAAAGCAGGGCCTGAGGCATCAATCACCACCTGCAGCTGTCTGTCCTGCAGACCCTGACTCATCAATGGATGAATGAATACACTCACACACACTAGAATACCATGAATCTGAGTGGGCTAGGGATGGTTGTCAGCTGCTTTCAGAGGACTATTGCAGCTAACTGACCATAACTTCCTGTAAGTTCTTTTATTTATTCAGGATAGATTTAATAACAGAGGTTCTAAGTCAACATTTTTGTGGACAATTAACATGGTTAAAATAGTGGTTTAACAAATGATAAAAGCTTTAGGTTCTGGGGCCCAGAGTAAACATGATTAATGGGTAATTCCCCTTTGACCTCCCCCTGAGCGGGCCATCCAGCACCAAGTTTACACGAGCCAACAAATTAGAGTAGAGACAAAGGAATGTGGGGTAAACAGACTTCACTGGGGAAGTTTTATTGTCCCTATCTTTTACCCTATAACTTAAAATTCTAACATAATGAACTGGCTGCCTTCAGCCCATTCCATCAAAACCTTTCAGCCTTCCAAAAGGTTTGAGACTACAATCTAACTTTCCCTAATATTTACCTAATATATTGCCAACCACCCCAAGTGAATCTCAATATCTCCCTCTCTCTCTCTGTCTCTTTTTCTCTTTCTTTCTTTTTCTCAACAGTGCCTCATTCGGTTACCCAGGCTGGAGTGCAGTGGCACGATCTCGGCTCACTGCAACCTCCGTCTCCCAGGTTCAAGCAATTCTCCTGCCTCAGCCTCCCAAGTAGCTGGAATTGCAGGCATGCGCCAACACGCCTGGCTAATTTTTTGTGCGTTTTAGTAGACACAGAGCTTCACCATATTGGCCAGGCTGGTCTTGAACTCCTGATCTTGTGATCTGCCTGCCTCGGACTCCCAAAGTGCTGGGATTACAGGCGAGAGCCACCACACTCATCCTCCCATTTCTTTTTGATAAAGTTAGGTTTTGTTGTCTGCCAGTCACTGATGCATTCAGTAATGTGTCTGTCAGGTGAGGTAGTCCTTGCTTTTATTCCTACTTTGCATCCTAGCATTAACAAATAACATAAGACAATTATGAGTACAATTAGCAACATTCTTTTTCCAGTCAGAGTGACTCCCAGGAATGGGGGTCTAACCAGGAGAGATGATCTTGCACACCTTTCCATGTGTCTGTTTGTTGGGTGTGTAGATCTAAAGTGTGAAGGGATTCTAGAATTTTAGTTTTAAGTTGCTTTACATCTGCTGTTAGATTGTCTTGGAAGATTCTCCAGAGGTGTTGTTTCACCTCATTTCAACCATGTACTGATTGATTCCTTGGTAGAGAATTGATGCAAATATGTTTATGTTTCCAGTCGCAGCTTAAGTGCTGTGGAAATGCCAGCGCATCCTGTTGCTCCCCACATATTCTACTGCAGCCTCGAGTGCTTGCAAATGTGCAAGAATTTTTGATCTATACCTTGCTGTAAGAGAAGTTCATTTGACACATTTCTTTGCCAGATTATCTACAAAGGCAGCTGTTTGTACTGACTCAGCAATAGATGCCACTGCAACGCTGGCAGGAGCTACGATCACTATGGCTGAGACTGTAAAATTTATAATTTATATGAATCTTTTGTGTCTGACTTGTAGTGTTACTAGGCATCTCAGTTTACTGTACGCCATTAATGAGGAACGTCACTGGGGGTATGTTAATTTCTTTTTTTTTTTTTTTTAACAACCCAGTTAGAAGCCATGATGGGGATGTTAGTTTAAGTACTCAGGGCAGAAAAATGTAGATAAGAAGATGGGCTTGATAGAATGTAGCAAGTACAGGTTGCAGGCAGAGTGAAATAATAAAAAGTCAACATGTTATTGGAGTGAGTGATGTCTGCCTCTTGCGTTGTCCTCTTCAGCATTTCCTACATGATGTTCAGGGCTTGCGCGTGGTCTGAGGAAGCTGCATCATCCTGCAGGGACTCTCTCAGGCTAGCTTGAGTTTTTTCTTCTTTCCATCCTTTGATAAGGACGTAATCTCCAGGCTGGTGTTAGTGTACTGGAAATTCTAGTGTTTGTGCCTGTGCTAAGAGATCTTTTATAATCTTTGTAAAAGAACAGGCTAGTACCTTAAGAAAAACCTGTTGTGCTTTATCTTAATGTCTAGTTTACAGAAAAACTAGATGATACTTCTTTAACTTTTAACCAATATGTTTACACACAGAATTTCTTCTACGGTTAATGTTTTAAAACTGGCTTAGACCTTCAAAACAAAATTTAGACAACTTACTTGTATAATTTATTTTCTATAACATTTTTCACGGCTTTCAGTGATAAACTTAGACATGCTTTAATTCTTTTTGTTTTATAACCTTCCTCACTAAAGGTACATTCTTATATCTATAACTTTTAAAATATTTCTTTCTCTGCTTTTTGCTTTATCTAGTTTGTCTTGCTTTTCTCTGTCTCTTTTGTCTCCTTGTCTCTCTTTTTCTCTTCTCCCTCTCTTTCTTTTTCTAGTCATTTTTTATACTATTTCTTTCTTTAATTTTTCTGTTTCTGTCTGTCTTGGTCAAGCAGTGATATCATCACTTGTAAATCTGCTTGTTTATTGCCATAAGCTAATAGGCCAAGCAGTGAGCTGTCGGCTTGAGATCAGACTTAATTATACCTGTTTCAAGATTTTGTGGTAGATAAACTGAGTAAGCCAAGTCACTTACTATATTTATGGGCTGAGTGGAAAAAGGTTTTAATGCCAGAATCAGGGCTCTAATCTCAGCTCTCTGACTGCTAGCAAACTTTGAATTGTTCTTTCCTTAAAGTGATCTTGATGATATCCTGATCATAACTTAGTAATTGACTACATAATTCACTAAGATGGCAAGTTGAAATTGGTAACATGAAGTTTAAAGAGGAAATCTGAAACCATCTCTGGAAACAGGGACTCAAATAATACACTTTAATCATGAGCTTAAAGCCACAGGCAGAATAGCTTAATCTTGCAATTGAGTTTTCAGGCTGGCCAAGTTTATGGACCTTAAACTTACAAACAGTTCTGAAAAAAGTGACTCACTAGCACAGCAAAGACTATCTCTAATAAGTCTTTCATGCATATGTTTTCACTAAACTTACATACAAATTTCATTCACTTTCTGAGAATGGGAACAACATTTTTACTGCTTAATTCAACAAATATTATTTAATTTGGTTTAAAGTTCTCCTTTAAAGGGTAATGTTTGATTTTACATCCTTAGCTTTTAATTGCTCTTTAATTTGTGGGCCATCTGTAACAATCTCTCTCCTTTCAGAGATGACTGTTTTACTTAGATTAGGAGAGAGTTATGTTAGAGATAACAACAATAGGTATTATTAGAATTATTATTATTGTTATTTTTGAGATAGAGTTTTGCTCTTGTTGCCCAGGCTGGAGTGCAATGGCACAATCTCCGTTCCCTACAACCACCGGCTCCTGAGTTCAAGTGATCCTCCTACCTCAGCCTCCCGAGTAGCTGGGATTACAGGCATGTGCCACCACACCCTGCTCATTTTATATTTTTAGTAGAGATGGGGTTTCTCCATGCTGGCCAGGCTGGTCTCGAATTCCCGACCTCAGATGATCCATCTGTCTTGGCCTCTCAAAGTTCTGGGATTACAGGTGTGTGCCACTGTGCCCGGCCAGAATTTTTATTTTAACTTAAATTTTAGCAGAGAATTACAATTTGGGATGTTGCTTGTATACAAGGAGCACATGAAATTTCACTGTGAGACATCTGTGGAGCCAGAGCACAGTGGCATGAGTCTTGGGATGGCATCCATGCAGGCCCTGCCCAGGTACGGCTCTCTATTTGCACAGACAGAGAGAGAGAAAGAGAGAGAGAGAGAAAAAATAACAAGAATACCAACTGCTGACAAGAAAGAAAAAAAAACGAATTCTCATATATTACTGATGGAAATGAAAACGGTCTTTCACTCTGAAAAACATTTTAACTGTTTTTTTTTTTTTTTAAATTTTACATTTACCACATGACCCATCACTCACTCTCCTGGGTATTTATCTCAGGAAGATTAAAACTTATGTTCCTACCAAAAAAGCACAAGTGTTCATAGTATTCTACTTGTCATAGCAAAAAACTGGAAACAACTCAAATATCTATCAACAGGCGAAATGGTAGACAAACTGTGGCACATATGTACAACAAACTTTTGAGCAATAAAAAAGCAAGGATCTCGGCCAGGTGTGGTGGCTCACACCTGTAATCCCAGTGCTTCGGGAGGCCGAGGTGGGCGTATCACCTGAGTTCAGGAGTTCAAGACCAACCTGGCTAACATGGTGACACCCCATCTCTACTAAAAATACAAAAAATTAGCCAGGCGTGGTGGTGCACGCCTGTAATCCCAGCTACTCGGGAGGCTGAGGCAGGAGAGTCGCTTGAACCCAGGAGGCAAAGGTTGCAGTGAGCCAAGATCGCACCACTGCACTCCAGCACGGACAACAGCAAGACTTCGTCTCAAAAAAAAAAAAAAAAAAAAAAGAGGCAAGGATCTATTTAAGTATACCATGACTTGGTGAGATCTCAAAGGCACTGTGTCAGACACAAGAAGTTGTTCTCAACAATTACATAGGTAAGAATCCATTTATGTGACACTCAGGAAAGGCAAAACTATAGGAAAGAGTAGATACCAGGGGTTGGGGTGGGGAAGGATGTGGCCATAAAGGATGTCATGAGGCTGTTGTTTGGGGTGAAGAGTGACCTAACTTGTATCCTGATTGTGACAGTGATTATATGAATCTATATCTGTGTTGAAATTGATTAAGTTGCACACAGAAAAGATTCAACTTACTGTGTGTGTGTGTTTTTTTTTTTTTTTTTTGAGACGGAGTTTCGCTCTTGTTGCCCAGGCTGGAGTGCAATGGCGCGATCTCAGCTCACCGCAACCTCCGCCCCCTGGGTTCAGGCAATTCTCCTGCCTCAGCCTCCCGAGTAGCCGGGACTACAGGCACGCGCCACCATGCCCAGCTAATTTTTTGTATTTTTAGTAG